CTCTACTGCACTGATAGCATGTATAGGGAAGTTTCAATTTAATGTTATAAGTAGTTATGTGTCTGCCAGGGAGTCTCCTTGGTCAACAATAAGCAGGAGACCAAAAGGAGTGCCAAAAAGTGGTTTGATTTCCTTAATCTGTATTGAAGTTTACCAATTTTTCTCTACTGTTAATCATCAACTTGCTTCTTAGGATATTCACATGGTTTTTTTTTCATTAACTTTTACATATAGGCTTATGATGATATTTTTAATTAGAACTAAAGATTTTGTAAATTTGACAAAGCTAAAATAAATTTTTGGTAAATATTTTGTGCTGTAGACATTAGAAGTACTTTTCTTTCTATATTTAAAAAAAGTCTTATTTCCAAACAATGAAAAATAATAATCTAAAAGCATGTTTTAAGAGACAATTCTTTGAGCTACGATAATAAAACTTTTATTCAATATTGCGCAAGTTTTAAGTTTCATTATAAAAATTGTAGTTATTAAATTTCTTACAGCAATTGCTTATAAAAATAATGTTGGCTTAAAAATATTACAGCAATCCATATTTTTGTATACTTGTTTTAAAATTTAGTTTCCAATGTGTAAATTTAAAATCTTGTCATAGTTTACCTTTTTATAACATCTTTATTGAATGATGATTGAATTTTTAACATTCTGTATGTCATACAAATAATTATTGCATCCATTCTTGTCCCACTTGTAATTTTTTGTTTTTCAGTAGCAAATAATATATATATATATATATATATATATATATATTTCTCAGTTAACCTGTAGAAAAAAGACAATATTTATAAATACAAATGACAATAGGAAAACTGTAATAGTTGCTGACACATTTTGTCCAATGTGGATGAAACATGTGGGCAACTATTACAGTTTTCCTACTGTCATTTATATATATATATATATATATATATATATATAATGAGAGAGAGATGCCAGTTTTCTCCGTTAACAATTTTACCTCCAAATCAGATTCAGAAGTTACAATAGTTGTTTACATATATAAATATAACTTGGTGTTGCAACATTTTGTTCAAAACACTTCTCATTTCTTCTCTTGCATCATCACTATTTTATTCTTGAGTTTCTTTCCACTTTATTTAATTGGAATTGCCAATCACAAGAGATCTTACTGGCAACACCAACCACCAGAATTCTTAATTTTTAACTTACTTACTTTTCTTAATACATCTGAACATCTTAATCCAAGGACATGAAAAAGAATACAAGCTCATCTATTTAACAAAAAAAAAGGCATTAAAATTACCCCCAATCTTTTTTAGATTTAAGTAGCTTTATTTTTCTCTATTTTCATATTTTATGTACACTTTTAAAACCTTTCAATTTTGGTATACTTTTTAGATCTTTGAAAACATTTTAAAAGTATTTTTCTGTAGTGCCTTATGAATTAACACGTATGAAAAGGCCATTGTTTTTGTTAGAAGTAAAGAAACTTTGAATTCTATAATAAGTGATATAACTAAAGTGATTTTTTTCTCTAGTTTCTACTATTATTTAATGTGCATAAAAAGCATATGATATTAAATATTAGCAGAAACTACAAAAAAAAAAAAATAGATGATTAACTTTTTCACTACTATACATAACTTTAAATAGAATTAGTAGCAGTTGCTGTATTCCTCTAATTAAAAATATTCATGTTTTGTTAAGTTGGTAGGAGTCACTACTGATCATTGTTATCAGTTTTAATTTTAAAAGTATTAATCTCCAAATTGTTTCTTGAAATTGAGATTTCTTGTTTTTCTTTAGCAATGTAGAGCTGGGAACAAGCAGCAGTGAAAAGTTAATGTACACAAAGATATTGAAGATGTATTTGCTGTAGGATGTCAGAAGTATTCTATTCACTTGTTTCAATCTTATATATTCAATATATATATATATATATATATATATATATATATATATATATATATATATATATATATATACACACACACACAGTATTTTCTATGGTCATTTAAATTATTAAATTTTAATAATTGTCTGTTTATAAGTGGCTATTTTATATTATGTTTTCTACAGATAAAACATTGGCTGTATTTCCTTATCATATATTCAGAGCCCCTGCTGCAAAATGAGAGAGGAGGCTATACAGAAATAGCTCTACAAAAGTTTTTGGCCACCTGACCTCTCTTCCCCCCCCACATGTAGTGGAAAGTCTTACATCAAATTCTGGCAATGTTTCATTGCTTGAAGTCATGGCAAAAATTTCTAAAGAAACCAAAATGAAGATAATGAAGATGGCCAAGAATACGAATTCACAAGCCATCAGTAAAGAACTCTGAATTTCAAGGAGCAAAGATCAGGATCAGCTCAGATGCAGTCATTCTGAAAAGCTGCAGCATAGGATGGTGTACAGAAATTGAACAGAGCAGCAAAAGATCAGGCATAAAATATAATGGATGAGTGTGACATTTTGGTGTCTGTAGATACCACTAAGTGTATTCTTCAAAAACAGTCTGAAGGATGAAACAAAAAGCATTTAAAGGCAAGATTAAGTTGCTGAAAGAGGTTATGAACTATGGTATGCAGATTCTCTTGCAATAAGGTAGCATTCACAGATGAAACTAAGATTGAGCTGCATTCTAATAAATGAGAATGTTTCTGAAGTTCTACAGATGAGCAAAACAATATACAAGGAAAACAATGAAATTTGGGGGAAAGAATTTGATGCTTTGAAGATATATATAAAATGATGGTTCAAGAAAGTTGCTGAAGGATCAATTTTTGGCATGAATCTACAACTACTGCTCCTTCAGATCTTGCAACACAATAATCCAAGTGATGAAGGTGTCATTTTATTAAAAGATTAAACTCAAAGCCCTGATTTAAATATTGAGCAAATGTGGACAACTAAAAAGTTTGTCAGTGGGATCCATACAATTTTGAAGAATTGTAGGAAGTTAGTCATAGAGAGAATGGCATCTTATTCCTGAGAAGTGGAGGATTTGTATGCATCCTTTCCCAGGCACAATGAAGCAATTGTTAAGCAATTATCCAGCTTGGTTTATCTAGCATCTTCCTCTCTCATTCAGAAGTCCTGTTACAAATTGATATGAAAATGACTCCAGTAAAACTGACGTTCCATCTGCAGAAAACATTTGAAACATCCACTTACAAGCTAGTAATTACTAAACATTTACAATAGTTTAAAGTGACAGAAGACTTTTACACAGTTCTGTACATTTGTCTATATCAGTGCTTGATTTGCCTATACACCAACTTATGGGAGGTAATTAACAAGTATATTCAAAAGGAATGGCAACAGTGCTGTGAGGATAAACCTACACAATAAACTCTTTGCAATTCTGCCCAAACTAAGAGAATGGAAGTTGGCTTTCAGAAAATCTTGAAAGGAAGTAGTAGTACTGGCCTGCTTACACATTGACCATACAAGAATAACCAACTCATATTTACTAAACAAGGAAGATCAGTCAGTATGCTAAGCACATGAAATGACATACACTATTAAACATATATTAGCAGTGTGTAGACACTACTCTCTCAAGACAAAAATACTATGATATATAAATATGTATGAGCCCTTAAAAAAAACAAAATTGAATGACATAATATTATTTCTTAAAACAGTGGGCTTATACTAGAAATATAAACCAAATAAGAATGTCAATCAAACCAATTTCTCTACAAACTGTACATCTGAAAAGAATATATCAATGAAACCAGACTCTCTACAAACCGTCTTTACAAAAATACATCCATGAAATCTGGTTTCTTACAAAGAATACATATTCTATTCATACAAATCTATTCTAAAAATCTTGTAGGCATTAAATAACCCATTGTGTTTGATATGCTGTAAAAGAAAATAAACAAAACCAAACCGATGCTTGATTTGCTACTTAAAATTATAAAAGTCTTACTTGATGTTCAGTACCTAACTTCAAATTTAACTTTAAATCCAATTTAACATTTCAATAAAAGAATGTGTGCACACATTCTCTATTGTCAGAAAAAAAAATGATTGCACCTGTAAAATTTGTCTTTCAATGAAATGTATCTCAGTGATGCAAAGAATTTTATCATTAAGATACTGGAGTTGATTTTATAGGTAATGTCTCAAAGTCAAATATGAACAGATTGGTTCAAATAGATTCTTTTATTTAGTGGATAATAGCAAATAGTTACAAAAGCAATTGTAAATAAATCTGTGCAATAAAATCTAGCAATTAACTTACCTTGTTAACAAAAAATTAGACCTACAATTTATTAATGGATTAAAGAGATTAAAAGAAAATTACTCTAATGTTGCAGTGCAAAATCCTCTTACACACTGGGATTAATGCATTACATATTTCAATGTTTACGAAAATTGTGGTTAATTTAGTTCGCCAGTCGTTTGCAATAACTTAAATTGATTAAGGTATTTGCTTTCAAGCAATAGACCTCTTCCTTCGCTCGTTCTCGTTTGTCACGCCAACCAAAATTTTACCCTCATCCCCCTCACAGATTCACTATGCCTGTGTCGGGAGGGCTAATATTTGCATACGAGACTCAATTCTCGTTTGTGTGAGACTTCCTATTTTATAAATTCAAACTGATTTGAATTCTTAGCTTTTTTCATTGAACATCTGCAGCAAGATAGGAATTTCAGACTAATCCATTTTACTTTTAATGATGGTCACAAACTTTCAACAAGACCTGACATGCCAAGCAAATTTGCTTTGCAGTAGGTGAGTCTTCTCGTTCCTCACAAAAATGTTAATAATCTATCAACAAAATTAATGCCTCATATAAGAAATCTGTTATTGTAGAAAAAGAAATTCTATACATGCTTGTATCTTTGATTAAATGAAAGACAATTTGAAAGAAAGTATTTGTAAGGTTATTAGTGTAGTAAAATATTTTTTCTACAAATCTAAAACTGACCCATATATTTTGTGAATTGAAGTTTTTATAATATTTTTTCTGTTTTCTCTCTAAATACTGTTTTCTCTTAGCAGATTACCTGAAGGAATTGCATTAATTCCCATCATCCTCTACTTTCCTCTTGGATTTGTTCTTGCTGTTGTGCGATTCTTTATTGGATTACAAACACTTCTTATATCATGTATTTTGCCAAGGTTTTCACCTCTCCGAAGGTAAGTTTTGCAATTAATGTCTCTTAGATATTTACTCAGCTTTGTTTAATCTTGAACAGTCTAAAAAGGGATTAAAAAAATGTTTGGTCATTTGGTTAAATTTTGAGAAGTGGATAGGACAGAAAACTTTTCAGCTTCTAGTTTGGGTTTAAATGGATAAAGGAGGGTGGCAAGTAGATTACTCATATGAATATATTATAAAGTTTGTAGTAATAAGTTCTGCGTGATTTAAATGAAAATTGGATGGTAGGAAAAATAAATTTCCACTCGAATCTGTTCCCACTAACAGCTAACATAGAAACCGGAATAACGCTTTGCTTGGGATTCTGTTTCCGACACACCATAAACAACAATACTATCACTCTTTCTCTGGAACACAGGTATAAATCTTCACCAGTCTCAAAGAACTAAACTACACTGAAACAAAAAGTCAGCTCTTTTTATCCTTCCTTGGTCTCAGACAAGAAACAGATCTCTTACTTCTGTTAGCCCTGTTCTCACTGTTAATGCATGCACTGTGTCACTTCAATATTGATTTGCCAAAGTTCACAAGTCTATGATGTCTCCAAACACATGTACAGTTCTCTTGCTTCGGTGAGGTATGTCTCCACCACAAGTTCTCAGAAAGGAAGAAAGTTACATGACGTTACAGTTTGAGAATAGTGTGTAAATAATCATCATGTTGGGAAAGGGGATCTACATGATGAAATACAACAGTAAAAATAAATGTATACAAATATGCCGACTTTAAACATATGTTCAAATAGTAATATAATAAAGCAGACCAATACAGAAAAAGATTAGAAAGGTATATACCAGCAATGACATAATGTGGGGGGGATTTAGGAGGATAAGAAAGTAGGGTCTGCATGCTTGTGCTTTATTGTTCTGGTAATTACTACAGGGTTAAACAGTAAGTGGTAATAAATGGTGACTAATCTAAAATGTACTTAAATTAAAAAGGGGACAAACAAAGGGAAAATAAAACAATGGAGGTTCTGTACTGTGGCAACAGAACAACATTGATTTATTTCACCTGACCACAGTGTATTATCCCAAAATGTTGACATTTTCTCTTTATTCTCCTGTGCAAACTTTAAACAAATCTTTTGGTGTTTCAGTTTGACTAACAGTTTCTTGCACTGTTGTTGGCCATGTCAGCTGGTCTTGTTTAAATTACATTTTTTTTTATCATAGAAACATTCACAGCACCCAAAATTTTTGATCTCATGGGCAACACCTGCCACTGACTTTCTCGGATGTTCATTGACTAATCTGATAAAATGAATAGACCATAATATCAGCTTGTATAATCAACCTATATGCCAACATTTCCACTTCTAGCAATTTTGTTCATGTAACTGTTCTGTTTGTGGAAAGAAATAACACATTCCTTCAGATTGAAAGAACTTTCCATATGGTACCATTACTGAACTAAATGTCTATACACTGAAAACTATGTATTTATAAGAACTATTTTTAACATTGTCTAATATATATTTAAATCCATTTTTAGAAGAAAATATTAGTTTTAAAATATACTTATAGAATGAAAGTTATTTCATGAGTATACTCAGTTTTGGACAGCATATATATTTTCAGTAACAGAGTTTCACTGCTGTAGAATTTGATCATAATATTTTAATTGTGTACTGTTATACTAGAAATAATTTGGTTTAGAAGAAAATTTTCTTTCTATAAAAAAAGAAATGAGTGGTCACTGCTATCTTTTCACTTTGTGTAAAAAAAAAAAAAATCACATCTGTTTTAATCTTATCAGCTTATTTGATGCATTATGTCATGCTTACTTAAGTACAATAAGCTTCTTGTCAAAAATGTCAAATATCTATCAGCTACTGGTTTTAGTTAATTTTATGTCATTGATTCTGAAACGTAATTAAATGAATTTAATAAGTGTTGATTTCTATTCTTGAATTGGAGTCTAATCTAGATTCTAGAAAGAATAGTTTTCATAGACTTGTAAGAAATGACAAAAGAACAGACTTTTTGTTTTCAAATCCTTAACTTTAAAAAAATCTCTTTGAGTAAAAAATGAAAAAAAATAATATATAAAGGCTATCATTATGATCCTGTAGATGTTTTTTACATACAAGGAGTTCTTTAAATTCCACCTGCTTAAAAACATTAATATTAGAAAAAATTATAGAATCATCTTATTTAATCTTCACTTAGCTATATTTTAATGTAAGCAAATGAATAAATTACAGCTATGACAAAATATTTTATTTTTTTATAGTTATTAAGACAAATAAAATTAATGGTATGTTTTTTTACAGATCATGTAAAGCAAAAAATTATATCACTGGTTATTAAAATTATATCACCTTTAAGCCCACCCATCAGCCACTTCTTCTGCTTAGAGAGAGATGGCTGGTAGGACTTAATGTAAACATATTACAACACACTTTCAAATGAAACTCTGAATCATATCCAAGATATGTTCTCAATACTGAGCAAGGCTAATTCTGAGTTTCATTTGAAAGTATTGGAATCTGCTCAATACAGACTAGAGCAGATATAATTATTTATTTAAAAAAATTATAACATAAATATGTTATAAAATCACTACAAAAATAGCCATTTGTTTCAACACCTTTGGTGTCTTATCAAGTGATGATGTTAAATGTCTACATCATCCTTAGTATTTGCTGAAACAAAAGGTGCTTTTTATAACAATTTATGTTATAATTTTTAAATAAATAATTATATATTCTAGTCTGTATTGAGCACTCTTTAAGAATAGTAATTGTTGGTTATTGAATTCATTCCGTATACATCAATTATATACTTGAGATATATATATATATATATATATATATATATATATATATATACATACAAAATGAGCCATATTATTTTAGTTTCCTAATTAAATTATCTTTACCACAATTTGAAGTGTATATATAATATTCATGTTGTAGGTATGCAAAAATATGTTTGTGCATTTACCCTAGGGAATGGAGCAAATGTACACCCTGTAGCTCTTTTAAAAATTTAAGCCAATTTAAGCAATTCCAAACATATTTTTGATGTATTACCTCCAATATGATCTATTATTAAGCAATATATCAGGTATAAACTATCACTTAAGCATAGAAAATAACAAAAATACCAAAAAACGGAAAATATATCATAAAACTATACTATGCAAAAAATACTGCTCCTTATTTCTTATCACATGGCCATATTAATCATTTCAGAAGCTTTAAAGCACATATTGTTTTTAATAATGAAGGGCTTAGGAGACAGAAACTGACAGTAAACCCAAGTGAAACCATAGACTTATGTATTCACTGTTTTCTCCACATACTTTATCCTCTTCCTGCAAATCATTAGCTTTGCCTTTGGGTCATCTGTTAAATTTGTTTCCTTATAATTGATGATAGAATTCCTCTCAATGATTCCTTTAAAACTCTTAAAAATGATTGGGCTCACTCATAACCCGACACCTCTTTGAAATATGCACAGTATCAGCCTGCTTTATCTCAGAAACGTTTCACAAATTACCTTAAATCCAAATTGTCGAAAGCTGAGCTGTGATCAGCAAAAGTGGCCAGATGCTGGGCAATGAACAATTCTTTACCTCTTTACCTGGAAGTAAGTCTAGTTTGCACCATACATTTAATGTGCACCGTGCTCCAGACACATGATCATAGACAGTCCTGTGAAGTATGTGAAGAATTCTTGTAACCTACTTGCAGGGTCCTGCTTGTACATACTTGACTGCTTCCTTCAAATCATTGGAGAAGTAAAGCCTCATTTTCTTGAGCTATGTTTTTCTCTTCTAATCTCATACCATCTGTACAAATATGTGCATTATTATAGTTTTTGTTTTGTCATATGCTATAGATTTAGAAATTAGACTAAAAGAAATCAAAATATTACTTTAAATATTATTTTAATCCTGTAAATAAAGAAATCAATGGGTGCGCATTTACCCTATGAAAAGTTGTATAACTACAATCATGTGCCTTGAACTAACATCTTGTAATGTAATCATAATTTACGTTAGGGTATTCATAATTAATGAGTCTAAAAGGAGTATCCTAACAAAATTTGTTCATAGATAGCTTACCCTTAGCATTTCTGACTTCACAATTCTTTTAAAGTGTTCTTTAATGCATCACCTTCCTTTTCCAAAACTCTAATGACTATTTTAATTATGCATGCAATTATATTTTTGCCTGTATAAGTTATTCAGTTATTCTTTAAAGCATTCAAACTGTAAAAAGAAGAAACAGTTATTCAAAATATATTTTTGTCACTCTTGAAATAATTTACTTGGGTGTGCATTTACCTCACTTTACAGTACACACATACACATTTATGTATGTATAAAATATTCAAAATAATTGAAAGATTTATACTTGAAGGAAAAGTAAGTTTTCCTCTTAGTTATAAATATTAAAAAAAAATAAAATTTAATATCATGACTGAATTAGATGTATTAAGTTACTATATTTTAAAATCAGTTTTGTCATGTTTTAAATCTTTGGAAATATATGAATGTATTTTGGATTGTTCTTCATGTACAAGGTGATGAAAGGATAATGTTTATTTACTATAAATTATTTTTTATTTTCTCTAATAAAATTTTCACTTTTTACTCAGTGATCTACTTATCTACTGGTTTATAAGAAATTATGTGGTTGTTCAAGTACCAATCACTCTTTCAATCAATTGGCATGTATTTACATGATTTTTCATAAATTACTTGATAATCATCAGTTACTATTAAAGCAGTATATGTAATATGTATGCATTTATAAATGCATATTAACTCTTCAGGCATAGATCCATGGTTTCTTGGGACTGGATGCCACAATTATGTCATGATCTCATCATGTCTTTCAACTGATATATTAAAAAAAATATGAATTCTCCATTGATCAAATCTCTTGTATAATAAGAGCTTTTATGTTTTAAAAATTCTCTGGAAAAATCCATAATGTAACTTACAAGTTTGTTTAAAATCAAAGTTGATTTCCATTAAGATCTTAAGACTGCAGTTTTATTGTTTTCCTGAAACCATTATTTTTTTTTTATTTTTATTTTTTTTTATTTCTCAGCTTTGTACTTCGAGTGATGTGTGCTGTGCTGGGATTTATTGTCATTGTGGATGAACATAAACGAAGAGATGAGAAAGCCAAAGTTATTGTCACTAACCATGTATCAGCTTTTGATCACTTTACCACAGCCCTAATATATCCTAGTGTTTTGGTGAGTGAACAGTGTTATTTTATTTATGTCCAGTGAAGTCAATAGTTGGAGATCAAATGCAGGAGATAACTTTGAAGATTCACTAAAGATTAATAAAAGAAAATTGAAACTGAAATAATTTGAATGCTTGTGTAGATATTCCTGGAATGCAGTATGGAGCATATTGCTCTATCAAGTTGTTATCAGCCAATAGAGAAGAAGATTATAGCAAAATTTGCTTTTATATTTTTATCAGTAGATTTGTCAGACATAACAGAAAACATAAAATTAAGTTTCTTTCACATAGTTAAATACCTAAAGTGGGAAGAAAGAAAAGTCTGTATCTGTTGTTGTTACTCTGGCTTAAAAGTAGTTAACTAAACAAATGTTCAGTATGTTTCCTATGTGGTTCATAAAGGTTTTAGTACTGTGATAAAAGAAACAGGATTGTATATAGATATTTCAACCAATAATTCATTGTATAGATTTTAAGAATATATTGTTGAATTGGTTCAAATAATTTAACTTTGTTTACTTACAGCCCAGCATCTGTGAGCTATATCCTTTCTTGGAGTGGATCCTTGGATGGAGGGATTTTGGTTTCAAACAAAACAAGGAATCTTTTTTGAATAATATTAAAGGATTTTGTAGCAGTGAGTCAAGATACTTTTTTCATTTTATTTTATCACTCAATGTCATACATTTTCTTCCTGACATGTGTATTGTGTAACATTTCATATGGTAAAATACTTTAGAAACAAAAGGCGCTTTCAGACTCAACATTGGTTTAAAAAGAGAAAAAAAACAGAAGGAATATTTTCTAAGGAAATATAATTAAGAATATATTCTTATTTGCATATTCTTTTGTAAAAAAACAAAAAAAAAGTTCTTGATTCTCTCCTCAGTTTAAGAAGTAAACTAGAATCTCTCTTATCCATATTAAAAAAATTAACTTATTCCCTTCATATTTTTTATTTATGCCATAATCTACACTTGGTATCACTGTTCCAGGAAGTTATTTTCTATATTGACTCTCTTGTTAGTCATCTAAATATCCAATAAAGAAAACATTTAAGAAATTGATAGCTTTTAAGGCAGGTTAGTATTAGTGTAATTTATAGTTCCACGAGGTCAGTTATCTCTAAAATTTCATGCATAATACTTGGATATAAATCACATGCAAATTTAACTTGAAATCATCTACCTTTATACTTTGCCAATAAAAAATTGGCAGTTATCAATAAGATTCTGGCTTGTCACTTGGAAGTTAATTATAAGAATGTACTTTTTTTCCTTTTTAAAGCATTAAATGAATACTTTATGTTGTAGATTCCAATATTCCCTTATTGGTTCAACCTGAAGGTACTACTACTAGTGGCCGCTATGGTTTGCTCAAGTTCTGGTGAGTATGACTTGTTTTATTGTTAATAATTATATTGACACTTTACAAATGGTAGCCCTTTTGAAATATTGAAGAGCTTATTTCAAATCTTTATAATGAGATTATTCAAGACTAAAAAATACAATTTTGTTTTGAGTTTGATTATTTAGAAAATAAATCAACTTGAAATTCATTTCAACTAACCCAGTAAATGGTAGAATGACACCACCATTTAATATTCATGCCATAGTAGCTAGAATTTCATCATGAAGACAATTTTAGCCCACTAAATTACTGAACTGATTTGTTCAGTGTGTATATTCAGTGAAAATTGTAAAATAGCTTCTAAATAATATTTAACCAATACTTTTACAGAAATCATAACTGAATATCTTTTTTTTTTCTAAATGAACTAAGTGAAACATAAGTACTGATTCTAGACTAAACTTTCATGCATAATTTTGATGTTTGCCAAAAAAAAATCATGCACATTTTAACTGTAGAACTGAATTCAATAAAAATTTTTCAGCTATATGTAATATAAGACTGTGACTATCATAGACTACAAAAAAAATAGTATTTTCTCTATTTTGTAAAACTCTAGGACAGACTTTGTTTTTATACATACACCGTAAAGTGAGAGCCTCAATTGTAAAGCCAATTCATCCTCTTCCATTTTTTCTATTTCTCAAAAGTGAAAAAGTTGGCCACTTGATTAAAGTGAAAAAGTTGGCCACTTGATTAAACAATCACCTGTTCACCTCCCATTTTGAAAAAAAAAAATTTTTTTTTCTTTTTTTTGTTTTCAGAAAAGTCTGTTGATTTAGAATTATCTATTTTTCATGTGATCTTCTCAAAAACGAATCCTTAAGCAATAAAATGTTTTATGCACTTTGATATTACTACCACATTGTGAAATTCTATTGTGAAAAAATTGTATCGTGACATAAATGAAAATTAATATATTACTTGATGATAAATATTAACATTTAATAATGCTCTCAAAATCAAGATACTTTATCAACTCTACCACTGGTGATTGATTGTATTATGCCATATTAAATTCCCTGTCTTGCCAGAAGAATTTTCTTTGAGCACTAAAAAGCAGTTCAATTGTTCATCTACTTAATACCAACAAAAATTGCTAAATATCTTGTACTACAATTAAAGAATAATATTGTTAGTTTAAACATTTTGTAAAGCATTTCTGCAAATTCCCCATTAAAGTTTTGAATTCTTAGAGAATTCACTATATTCCAATCTGTGATTCAAGAATGTTTTAATTACATTAATCAAAATGTGTAGAAACTTTGATATGCAAACAATGAAGTTGTAAATATTCTCTTTTAAAGTTTAATATACATAATTCTTTTTTTTCTACTGCAGCACTTGGCCATTTTCTCTTGATTTTCCATTGCAACCTGTAAGTAAACTACATTTTATTGTTCACATTTCTTTTGAAGCAAAAAGTATCAGATCAATGCAAGGCCATTTATTTAATTAAAATAATTTAGAGATCATCAATAAGAAGTCCTTTGAATTTCTGACTGTTTATGTTACTGTTTCCTACAATAGGAATGTACAAGAGAGCAGATACCAATTTCCTCTGTTCCTCTTATTAATAAAGATTTTAAAACTCAATTTCATAATTGTTAAACTTGTATGTTCCAATGATGCTAAAAGCTACCTAAGTCTGTAGAGTTTCAATGCCCAAGCACAGATTTAACATTTAACTACAAATATAAATTTTGATTTTCATCTATGAAAATATTTTTATTCCAATTTATGTACCTTTTGATTTAAAAAAAAAAAAAAAAAAAAAAAAAAAAATCACCCAAAACTTTATAAAAGTTAATTTTATCATCATAATCTTTGTGCCATAAGTAAGAATATAAAAATTGTCTGTTTACCACATAGAACCAGAGATATTTGTATTTGAAAAGTTCTTTCACTATAATAAAAAAAAAAATGCTCGGGCAATACAATATGGTAAATTTTAATAAATGGACACTGAATGCTAAAATTAAATTTAATGTTCAATCACATAAATATGTTAACATTTAATATCCATCCATGAAAATGTTTTATATCAACATAATAAGCTCAGGCTGTCTGGGCACTAAAGGATGCTGAATCCCAGGACACATGAAGACACAAAATCCCAGCTTCCAATGCCCAGACATTTGGGTTTCAACCAAGGTGATACTTATAAAATTATAGTTATCACTTTGGATTCAGCATATTTTAGTATCTGGACAGAATCTAGGTTTTTTTTGTATATTTTAATGTTCAAGCAGCTTTTAATGTCAGGCCATAAAAATTAAAGGAAAAGTAGTAATTGAATTTAAAACCAAATAAAAGAAAAATATGTTAAAAGCAACAAGGATAAAGACAGTAAGCAAAAGCTGTTTGGAATCAACTTCTTCTGAGTTGACTGGTTCGTAATTATCTACCCTTGATCTGCATGGGTCTTTGATTTGGGTGTGTAAATTCTAATTCATACATTCATTCAGACTTATTTTAATTGATTTATAGAAACTTTCTCTAATGTCCTTTGTATTTTCATAAATTTATATTTTTGACAACTGTCTATATGTGAAGTTAACCATAATTATAAATAACATTACTATTGAGTTATTTATGTTGATTTGCTGGAACAAAAGTTTTATTACAATGAGAAAAATATTTAAATTGATGTAGTAGTTGATGCATTAGTATTAATTCATTTAATTATCAGGTCTCTGCTTTTATTAAATTCTTTAAAGTTCACTTTATGTGGCTGGGTTGAATTGGTTAAAATTTATATATGGCATAATTATGAAATCTTCCATTTATTTTTTATTTATATATTTTAACAGAAACAAATATTACATTGAACTTAAATATAAAATTTTGTTGGGTTTACCTATATATGACTTGAGTAATTAATTTAGAGATTACAGCTACATTTATCTAAAACTTTTTTACATGATTATTATATAAACACATTTTCATAATCTTAACAGAAAAAGATATTCTTTTTCTCCATATGGTGGTGGTTCATCCTACAATGTATGTGATTCTCAACTTTGATTTTAAAAATCTTTTTGTTATTCTTATTCACATGACTTTCAATTTATATTTTTTATAATAATTTCACTTATTACTTTTTCATTCCCAGATGACGTTGCATGTATCCAGACCTCAAATTTTTCAAATTGCTGTGGTGAGCATTTTTTCTTGCATAAAAAAAAAAAAAAAAATATATATATATATATATATATATATATATATATATATACACACTTATTCTTGTTTATTTTAAGTTAGTGTATCCTCTTGAATAGTCTACTAAACTAGGAAAATGAAATCCAATATTTTTTATTTAACCTCAATAAAAAAAAAATTCTTGGTTCAGAATTTTGTATATATCTGTATTTAAAAAGAATCTGGATTTAAAAAAAAAACACTTTAACATTTTTATTATCCAGATTTCTCCAGCATTTTATTCAAGAAAATAGGGACTTGTCATAAGCGTACTTATATAATATTGGAAAAATTATTTTTCCCTTCAGAAATTCAATGTTACTATATTTTATACTTTTTTTTTTTTTTACTAACTGAAAAAAAAAATTGTCCTGAGAATATTATATTTGTTTGACACTATTGTTACAAGATGAGTGGTGTCCCAATTTATAAGAGGAGGGTAGATCCCCAGAGAGGCTTGATCCCAGGTAGTTACATTTCAATAGGCTTGGTTTGGTGGCATGGATCTAAGGAGAATAAAAGATCTCTCTACACTTATAAAGTGAAAAAGAACAAATTAAGAAGGTTATTAGGTTTTATATATCAAGTTGGATTCAAGATTCTCAAGAGATTGAACTTAAATTTAACTTGATGAAATTCAGTAAGTATAACGAACAAACTTACCTGCTACCCCAGACAGATGTAGAGTCTGACATGTCATTGATCCGAGGAGAAAAAGATTTCAGATTTAAAGTTGTACCAACCACCCAAAATGAATTTGAGAATCTTGTTTTCATCAAAAGGATTTTCAGAAGTGAATGCACAAAGCCAGAAAATGTTTATAGGGGACATTTTTTTTCTTAAGCTACTTGTGAAAATGTAAGCTTTGTAAAAATGAAATTAATAATTTAATGTTGCTTATCTGTCATCTTATCAAAACCGAGTCGTAAAATCCACAAAAATCAATTATTTTGACTTGTGAAATAGTTGATCGGATTCAGAAAGAGAAAGACCCCAGTTAGTGTTTTGAGATGTTGATTTCCCCAATCACATGACCAAGCTATAGCAAAAACATAGACTAATTATCTTTCTTTCTTGCATAGTATCAGTAGTAGAGCCACTAAAAAAGAACTCGGCTTGGTCCACTCTCCTCACTCTGCCAATATTGGTGCATTATATTTGGATAATTTTTGATAAACATCAGATATAAACAGGACTTCTACAACTTCTCTCTGCTTTTAAATTTTGTAATGTTGATTTCAATTAAGCGGGTTACTGATTAATAAAATTTAGCTGAGCTGAATTTGAAAAAAAAAAAAAATAGCCAAAAAATCTAATCATATCTATATCATCTTTTTCAACTTATTTTAGCAGCTAAACTGTTTAAATGGGTTAGCATGAATGAACCAAACTGACTGTTTCATTAGGCATTGATGATTCACCTATTAGTCAACTTCAGTCAGGCAGTATCTGTGGCAAGTAGCCTTTTAGATTATAATTACACTTATGTATCCAAAATTCTAATTTATTAACAAATACAATGTGACTAAGCAGAAAGCCATAAAACCTGGCTGGATGCATTATGACATTATTTTATGCCAGAAGGTAATTGTTCACATTGTTACTTCATTCGTACTTCAAGGGTACACTCAATACATTCTTCAAACATTTATGACCTTTCAAGAATTACAGTAGTTCTATGAAAAAATACTGTATTTTATTTTTATATTTTTTAATAGGAAAATCATTTTATGATCAAATGATGGTTTACTGCCAAAAATGAAAGTATGCACCATTTGTTCATTCACATTAACCACTTAGTTGGGCTGAATTTCTATATACCACTTGTCCTAATAAAGCAGACTATTTTATTAAATGTGATTCAACTGTGTTGCTTACTAATGTAATCTTCTTTCTCTTGCTAGACAACTTTGAATAGCCGATGGTGGGAGGATCTGTTCTGGTGTTTGTTTGTTCCAGTCACTTGGTTCACTATAAGGTTAAGTATTGATTCCTTTTCCATAACATTGACTTTAAAAATATTGAAATTTAAACTAACTTACACTTCATTTCATTAAAAAGAAGATTTTACTTTGTCTTAAAACACTGAATAAAATTGATCGTGTTTCCATAAATTAAAGACAATATCACTTAATGTACTCCAAAGTTAGACAATGAAATTTATGCATAGATTGATCAGGGTAGTAGGAGACATGTTTCTTCTTTTCCACTGGTATGAAACAACAGGAACTATCATTGGCCATTTTCTGTATTTGCATTTTCCATATTATTAATTTCAGATGTTTACCAGTCATGGAAAAACCCAAATCTGTTTCCGCTGAAGAATTTTCTGAGGATGTGCGGCAAAAAGTTGCAGCTGACTTACAATTGATCACCACTGATTTCACTACAGCTGACAAAGCTGAACTACAAAAAAAGCATTTTCATAACAGATTTAACTGTAAGTCACTTTCCACTTTATACTTTTGTTAAACACTTACATATTAAAAAGGAAAATTAATTTTACAGTTGCATGTGTATTGTTAATTAGCCAAGGCTTTTTGGATTAGATAAACAACTATAAAAAAAACCACAAAAAGTATAGGTTTAATGCAAGTACTATAATGGTAAATTTTACATCATCCAAATGAGCTCTTATATTATTGATATGTATGTTTACAAAGAGAGAATCAATCATTACACTCCCAGAAGTTGGCATTTTACTCTTCTTAAATACTTCAAAATTCCTATTGATAATTTTAAATATATAAAAGCATTAAAAATAATTAGGTCTTGTTTTAATATTAAAGAAACACTACTGATCACTTTATGATTGTTTTGAACTAGAATATTGCTCATTCAAGGACAGCAGAATGAATTTATAAAGTTTGTAAATATGATCATTTGATTTAATGAAAAGGTTTTCATCAAAATGTTTAAATGTACATATTTGTATTTTATATGTACTTAGTTTAAATAAAATCTGAACTTCCATACCCACCTTAATGTTTACTACATCCAGTCAATAAAAAAGGAGGTTTCTTAACATCATATTTATTTATATCTATTTCACTGCATTATTGTACTTATTAATGACTTAGAAAATATTTTCTAAGTCATTATATCTGTATTTTAATCATTTCAAAAGTATTGCAAAGTATTTTTTTCTCAAATGTATGCCTACATGGATGAAAATTTGTGATGCCTCACCATAGTGTAATAGTTCATAATCCAGGCTTGTCTATCATTAGTACAGGTTGAGAATCCTTTATCTCAAATTCTTGGGACCCGGAAGTACTTTGAGTTTTCAGATTTTTTAATACAAGTTGTATATAGCATCTATAGAATGGAACCCAAGCATAAACACACTTTACATTCCATAACACTGCTTATGCATATAACCAGAAGGTAGTTTTATATAAAATTTAATCAATTTTGTGTACATACAGATACAGGTAATGATGCTAGTTATGTAATGTTCAGCCAGATTTTTAAGTGATGAAATTAAGATTTCACATAAAAATAATGTTTTGTACTTTCTGTACGTGTACAAAAAAATGATCACTTACAAAAAATATATAAATGCAGGACTTTTCAATATTTTGAATATCATTTTTACTGAGCACGAGACGCCTGGAAAGTAATCCACAAACAGTTTTTGCTGTGACGATTGCTAACAAAAAACTGGTGCCAGTGTAGGCTACATAGCTGGGCTTTCCGAAATTTTCTATTTATGGCAAGTTATGTCAGCACCTGAAATCTTTAAGATTTTGGAATTTCAGATAAAGAACATTCAACCTGTATTGAGTTTGATTCTTACTGGGTGCTCCATATTCATAGCCTCGTACCAAACCTAAGTAAATAATTGCATGGATGAAAATATCACCAGTTGTAAAATATGCAAATTGTACAAATTCTTCTGTTTACTCTGTGTATAAAACCACATGCAAATCAGTTGCATGTAACAGCTTATTTCTAAGAAAATAATGGTTATGATTTTTCTGTCAGGTTTGAGCCGTCCCCAAGCATCTGCTGCTGAGCAAGAAGACAGCTTGCTTAAAGTTGATCCTGAAATGCAAAAAATGATCAGTCAAGTGAAGGATGTTCTCCCCAATGCCACTGTGAAAGATATTGCACAAGACCTTGGTATGTTGTTATACATATTATTGTCAATGTATTTGTTTTATTGCATCCTGATGGGCCACAATTTTGACTAGGATTAGTCTGGAATTTATTCATTTTTTTTTTGTCATGTACCAACATCAAACAAGTATGACCTATGCTGGCCATACATTTTCAATCTAATGTCAACCATGATGGTTGCAGCAGTGGTTCAATAGAGCTGTAGTTATTTGCTTATATAATGGCTTCTTTTATCCCTAAATATTTCTACTACTTTCTTCCAAAATTAGCATGTAAATTGGAAAAGATTTTTCAATACCAATTACTCAGCAGATATGAATTGCTTTTCTTGAAATCTAAAACCTAGCCTTAACTCTATTCAAGCATCAACTTGTTTTGAGTCATTGTGATAGTCAATGTTGACTCTTAATATTGTGTCTATATATAGTAACTGCATTAGTTAATTGAAAATGCTTAATGGTAGTTTTCTTACTCAAATTCTGTGTTTTATGTAAAATGTGTTTAGTAATATGTTGAAAAATAGAAAAGTTATGAGTTATTATTTTCCTTTTCAACTCTGTGGTTTTCTTTAAGCTCAAACCAAAGATGTTGACAGAACAATTACAAATATTTTGGAAAAAGATGTAAAGAATGAAGCAGCCACCAGCCAGTCTGCTGACACTACATCCAGCAACCATACTTCACCAAATGCATCATCATCTTGTGTAAGTTTATTTACTATTATTTTTGTTGCAGCATTCTAAAGATTAATTTTTAATTGATCCATTACTTTAATTGATCCATTACTTTTATACAAGCCAAAGCATTTCTTAGCCTCATTCTGGCATATCATTTAGATACAGGTACTCAGACCCTTCCTTGCATGGAAAAGCCTGAATATTTTGTTTGAAACAAAAACTATTTAGCTGTTATTTAAGAGTCTGTTACCAAAAAAAAAAAAACATTTTTATTTATGTCATTCACCTGAACAATAAAAGTGGTTGAATTTTTTTTAAAATATCTGTTGTGTGCATTAACCTTTCAAATCACTGTGTATGTGACTAAAATTTTATCCTGTCACTGAATGTGATTGATACCTGAACAATATTATGTTTGAATTTCATAGTTGTGTTGTCATATCCTGCTATGGTAACAGAAAACAACTTGGAATGAAATTAACAATAAGGATACTGCAATTGAGAGGCCTTAAAAAAGTATGCGGTAATATTAATAGTGCAGAGAGCTAAAGTTTAACTGACTTCAGAGTGCCAAAAGTTAAAAAAGGTTATTGCTGCAACTATTAATGCAGTTGTTTAATCAACTAATCAGGCACACTTACACTAATGTGCATGTGATATCTGTTTTCAAAGTCAATGACTTATCAAATATATACTTTACTTTTGTCTTGGCAAGCATTAGGTGAGGTAGTACACAATGTCACTTTGAAGAGATATTCACACTACTCATTTAAATTGCAAACATATGCCTTTAAGTAATTAATCTTTTCTTTTGCATGTACATAGTCAATAATGACTATCATAATTTACATTCTACTAATTCTGGAAAGAATTATCATGTGTAAATAAAGCCAAAGCAATATAAATCTACATATTTCATGTAGATTTTAACATAGCTCCTAATAACAAACTTGTTTCAACTTGAGTTACTGTTGAAAATTTATGAAAAATTGCCAAAAATATTAATGTTCAGCATTTATAAAAATCATTTGTTTTAATGAATTATAAAATCTAAAAATAAAAATTATCAATCTTGATAAGTTTTTAAAAGCACTTTAAAATTTCTTGGCCACTGAAAAGGTTTTTTTTCTGCTGCACAAACTTTCAGAGGTAGTTGATATTTTCCCCAAATAGAACTGCTTTGTATTCATTATTTTTTCTTTTCATTTCTAGGTGACACCTGACAATGTGTACAAAGCAAAGTCATTTTCCAAGAGTGGTGAAGAACGGCAAAAGTCATTGGAAGAACGTAAGCGACAGATGCTGGCAACTGCTCGGCAAAGATATATTTCCAAACATAGCTTCAACTAATTTCTTTTAAGGAAGGCTTGATCTATTTTTTACAGTTTTTGGCCCTAATGTAAAGTGAATCCTCTAGTTTATTTTTCCTATATTTTTCTCTCCCCTTAATTCTTGGCTTATATATTTTTTCTTCCTCTTTGGTACTCTTGAGTTATGATCATACTTTTTCCTCTTGCTCTCTCTTGTTCTTCTTCTCCTTTACAAATTGCCATATTTTCCTTGCTTGTGTTGCATTAAACCTTTGACACTCCCACACACATACTTTTAAGTTACTGTCTGAGGTTTATCACTACTGGCAAACTTCTGCCCATAAATTTTTGGCTGATGAGCTTTTATCATAGATCATTAACAAACACTAATTGAAATCAGTTTCATTTTGGGAGCAAGGAAATATAGTACTCTGTAAAGAGTTTACTGTGTTTGTCTCTTTGAAACCTTGCTAGCAATATTCTGTGTTTGTTTTACAGCAAAGAAGCAAATATTTGATTTTTATATTCAATTTATTGAATAACAAATTATGTTTAATTCTCGGGGGAATGCGGATGTTTCAAGGACAATTTTGGAGTACAAACTTCCTTTTTGTGTTAATTTAAAAAAAAATATCTCCAATATTTTTCTCTTTACTTGTAAAAGTTAGTGAACTTGGAGTGTAACAAAGTGTGTTCACTAATTTCAAAGGCGGCATTATAGCATTTCATATGGGTGCACACAACATATTCATCCTACTACATTTTTTTTTTCTTTAAGGTAGGGAGTTTATTATTCTTATCCTTGTTCATAATACAATCAAGTGAGATAGTGCTGGTAATTTACCAAACTGTTTTCACCTATCAATAGCTGTTAATTCACTCACATCACATTGCCTGAGAATGTTGGAGGAAATGGAAGAAAGATGTGAATAATATATAAGAGAAAAACAAACAAATATCAATGCCAATGATTATGTCTCATGTGAATGGGAGTGTGTATTTTCTTTTTGAATCCTGTCTCCTGATCCCCTCCAATTGTAGTGTCAAGCATGAAGGTCATATTTTAAAAATCTATTTCTACACTAAATATTAAAAAAAAAAGCAATTTGCAACCAAGATAATAGTTTCCTGATGGAAGTATTTTGCTCACATTTGAATAGAAAAAAAAAAAAAAAAATGAAGGTTTTGGTTTGTTTGTTATTTCTTTTCCTTCTTTCTTTATTCAAAAGAAAAATTAGTATTTTTACTAATGTTTTTTGGTTGACCTTTTTTTTTTTCTTTTGATATAGACTATTGATAAAAATTAAGATTCTCTTTAAAACAAAATTTGGGGAGGTGGTGAAGGAAGCAGAACTGAATAAATATATATATATATATATATATATATATATAAAAATTAAAAAAAAAAAAAAAAAAAAACTTAAAGACAATTTTGTATGAGTTATTGAAAATATATTTCATTACATCTGATGTGTTGATCAGTGGGTCACCACAATTTAAGGTGCATATGAAAGGAGATTCCAGTTGTCTGCTGGCTTGGATTTTGGTCAATGGATGGTTTCTGGCAATAAAATATTTTTACGGATAAAACAAATTTGTTTTCTTTTTATTTAAAATTTTGTAATCATTTTATAGCTGGAATAATTGAATTTAATAAGGAAACTTTTTATTGTGATCATGTATAATGTTATCACTCTTTCAATATAGATTTCAAAGATTCATGAAGATTTTGGAAGAGAGTTCAATGCTCGGATTCTTTTCTATTAAATTTATCAAAAGGAAATATTGTCAAAATTTTAAGAGCTACCTTTTTAGAAGCATCAAAAGCATATTTTAAAGCCTTGACTGCTATTTAATTTGTCATATGGAAAAAGAGAAGGTAAGCTTTTTTTCTCGCTCATATTGTAAGATCTTTTTACAATTAATTCAATTGAAACATCTTGTTTCTTTGTGTACAATATATTTGATAGGCTTGCTTATTTTTTTTATTTTTTACCACCTTGACAAAGCTTTTGTAGATAAGCTTTTTTGTGCTTACTGCACAAAACTTTACCATGTAACAATGGTGAGGTATGTGTTAAAGAATGCGGGTTTCACCCTCAATACTAGTTATATCTGCTCCTCCATCATTTACTAAAAAGTTTGTCACTTCACCAGCCATTCTACTTAACTATGCTCACTGGACATATCAAAGTAGTGAAGATTACTGAGAATCATTTTTCTCAAATTTTTTTTTTTTTTAATGTGTGAAATTTTATCAACGAAGATAATTTGACAAACATTCCAGATTTTTCAAATAAAATAGTTATTTTTTTTACCTTTTTAAAATATCATCAAATTAAGAGATTATTATTTCTTTTCTTCAGGCACAGTGACAATAAGTAGATTTCTTTGTTTTCTTTCCCCTTACCAACTTCAGCCATAAGATTTAAATATTCCATCCAGCCACACATACAAATGACTGCTGCTGTTTCTGCATGCATCTTGAACATTTTCAACATCAGCTGGAATCACAAGTTCTCCAGACTTCAGATCTGACAAAATTTTCATTCTGATTTCCCTTACATTGCAGGCAGCTTTCTTCTTTTCTACAGCACCAATGTTGGCATCTTCAAAAAAGTAAAATATAAGAATTCATTAATACAATGCAAAGGCAAATAAAGTGCAATTAAAGTTTTATCCAGTAAACTAATCAGACTAATTTAAAGAAATAATTACAAGATGTGTATGAAAATATTTCCTTTCACACTACTTTAAAAATATTTTGTATATCACTTATTTAAACAAAACAAAATGACTGATCTTCTCTAATCTGAAACTTAGTTCTCTTGACCTAATCTTTTCAGATTGTGTCCATCATACAATCTCCAGATGTACATATACCCAAATGTTTTTGAAATACATCATTTCTACAGTGTAAAATAATACAACCCCAAGCAGTATCAAAAGTAAATTCACAGGATTGCATAGCACCCATTTTATACAGTTTCACCCAAGTCTGTTTTTGACTTAGTTCTATGGATTGATTAATTCGTTTTGTATGGCTTTGCAGGTGATTTAAAACCAGAAAATATTTTTAGATTGTAAGAATTGTTTTTTAAGATAATAATGTTTTAGTGATAAGTTTTAATAATTAAGCCATAGTTAGGGGGAGATTTCATACCTTTCCAAAGGTATTTGTACATAAGTGAATAAACAAACCCAACGAAAATTGGAACTCAACTCCAATTAAAAATCCTGATCCATTATGCTGTCTGCATATTCAAGCTTACAGCACCTAACATTCCTAAGCAATCACCCATCTAGGTACTGACCAGGCTCAACATTGCTTAACTTCAGTAATTGTACAGGAGCTGGTGTTTCAATGTAATGACTTTTTTTTTCTTTTTTCTTTTTTAAGGTAGCCTGAGTAGGTATTTACATTATTTATGTCAGTAAGTAATCCACCACCTTTTTTTTAAACTGAAATCTTGTCTACTATAAACACCTGATTTCCCAATCCCTGTATACCTTGTTAGAATTAAGTTACCAGGAATGTAATTGCCCACTATGTCATGAAACAACAATAATAATAATAATGGATACTAACTCTACCCATGTAAATTTTCATGGTTTTCTTATTTGAATTTCCTGATGATTCATAATTCATAAATTACTGATTGAATAATCTCCGTGTAAATTCACCTATTGCATTGTTAAATATTTGAGGTTGACAATTTTAACAACATATTGTAATAGCAATCATAAGTATAAATACATGTGATTATTTAAAGAGGGTACAACTGAAACAATTTGAAATTGTCAATGCTTTAAATTTCATTTCACTCTTTTAGTATGACATGTACTAACAAAAAAAAAAAACTGAATTATGATTATCTTAAAGACAAGTAATACATTTTTCATAGAATAGTAAATTCAATAACATGTTTTTCAATAAAAAAAAAAAAATGAAAATCTTTAACTTATTAAAAAATTATATACAGTAAAAATACCCGCCCCCATTTAAGATAACTCACTTCTTACTTTATTATATTAATCTAGTACTGAATTCATATCTGAGTCAGTTTTATTAACTAAAAATCACCAATAAAAATTGACTACTTTAGAACCTATTTTAGTCTGTAATAATGTTAGTAAATCTGTCTTACATGTTTATAGAATCATGTGTATTTTTATAAAAGTATATCTTGTGTGTATTAGAAGACTGGACAATTAACCATTATCATTTGATGTCTTAACATTAAAACCTTTACAGAAGAATAATCTAATGGTTACATCATGAACAATTTGTGAATATGTGGTGAGTAAAACTGCTACAGTACCCAGTTAAGATTTTCTTCTTCATTAAATGTTTACAATGATAAAAAATATATAAACAATAGCAAGATAAAGAATTGTTTACTTATTGAAGCCATTTTCTCTGATACCAGTCTACGAAGAATTTGGTCAACTTGGTGTATACAGCTTGCAGAACACTGTCTTCGATTTTTTGCCTGCATTTCACGTAAATCTGTATAATCTTGAAATGGGGGTGCTGGATGTTCCTGTGCTGTTTGCACTAAGGCAAAAATGGCATTTCTGTTGAAAAAAAATAAAAGCAATGAAAATAAATTCAGTGTTGTGACTGAATGGATTATCCAATACAGAAAAAGGATAAATTTATTTTTTTAACCCTGTCTTAGTAACACCAGATTTCCGAAAATGGATAGTGTGTCCCCCCCCCCCCAGTGTCTGCCTTCAAAGACAACTGAAGAGTAGTGGGAGGGAGCAAAAGAAACGATTATGCGTACTTTAAAAATTTGCGGGTAACAAAATGCCCCATGTGACTAATGCAGGTTTAAGAAATAAAAATTACTAATTCTTCATTGATTTTTTTTTTTTTTTTTTTTTTTTCTGAAAAATATTGTTTCTCTCTGAATTTCTGTGATGAGGAGTTCTCATTATATACACTATTGTCCTCCTCATTGTTGTTATCACAATATTTAAACCATTATGCTCTCCAGAGCCTTCGTCTAATAAAAAAAGAGTAATGATAGCAAGTTTTCAATAGCAGCAGCAACACTAATCAGCAGGTAAATTAAATTCTTTTTGAAGGATCCAAGTTCATCACAGTGAATTATCTTATGGCATAATAGCCTAGTGGATTAGAGCAGTAGCTCATGAATTTGACAACATAGTAATTGTGAGTTCAATCCCATGTCTAGGTAGTGTGTACTTGAACTTAGTGGAAATGGGGGAGCAATAACTGAGCAGTACTAAAAATAAGAACAAAAATGAGATCTCCCTAGACAGGAACAGTCTACCCCATAGAGTAAATAAAGGGTTCAGTTCAGGATTTTCTGTAGGTTACCCAGATTGATATAAACCTGAAACCTGTTGGACACAATAGCCAAAATATTGGATTGAAAAAATTTCTTAAAAAATGCTTTTGTTTCTGGTATGAAAATAATGTTATATATCGACTTTGAAATGTCCCAACAGGAGATGTACCCTTTTTAATGGCACAAGAACTATTTCCCTTGGTTGAAAAAGAGAATACAGGTTCAACTGCTGTTGGGAAAGCATATTTTCTTTCATAGGACTTGTCAATCTCTAGGTTGGTAGATATTAATAGGGGATTAATAGACTCAAACACATATACCAATTAATTATAACAGTAATATGAAAACCTTATTTAAAATATAACTTTCTCAAAATCAAAGGAAACATTGAAAATAAAAATTTACTTTACACTGAATTTTATTAAAAAAAAACAAAAAAAAAAAAAATTTTTGAAATCTGAAGGCAACTTTTTTCCTCTCTCTCTCTTTCTTATAGTATTCAAAATCTTTTTTCCACAGTGACTAAGCACAACTCTGCAATAAAAGTGGGATGATGTCAACTATTTTTTTTTTTTATTATAAGAAATTTTCATGATTAAAAAAAATTCCCAAAATATCTCTTTTAAAAAAAAACAAAAAACATTTTCATGAAAAACTGATCATTAATTTCAACAGCCTACTGCCATTGGATAGAACTGCAAGTACTTATTTGGAGCTGCTAAATATTTTCTAAAGCCACATTTGTTAAATTATGTAATTTAAAATTATCTATATAAATTGAATAACATTAGACTTTCTTTAAAGACAGTGACAAACAAAAAATCCCTCACTTGTATGGGGAATATTTCAGGATAGCATTTTGTATACGTGTCTTTTCCAGCCATTTAATCAGGTTAATTTTGGATGGTTAAATCCAACGTTAATCTTGTATAAAATAATTATCAAATTCTCTTATACAATTTAACACACAGTTTTGAACTTTGATAGCTTTATACCTAAAATCTGATTAACTAGAACAAGCTAACATTGTTACATTTCATTGATAAACCTTAGACGACAATTAGGTGCAGTCACAAAATAAACGGATTCTATTTTTAATTTAAAAATATTTGCACTTTAAATATTTTAGAAGTGAAATCATCTGGGAAGTTTTTCTAAATCTGTTTATATATTCATGACTAAAAAAAACAAAAATGCGAACAGTTTTATTTAACCTTTTTGTATTTTAATGGAAATGTACAAACCATCTTATCACTGTTACTATTTTGGAATGATGAGATGTACATGTTAGTGAGAGAATAGGTATTACTATATTCTTAGCTACAGTCATGTCAATTCTTTTTTCCTTAAAATAAACTTTAACTCTTGGGTATCTTTTTTTTTTCTTTCATCTTAGCTTTCAATTAAAATTGGTTTGAAGATTATCAGTATAAAGCTTTTATCTTTTAATAATAAATGAATTAAATAAACAAAAACTTTCCCTAAGACGAGAAATTTTATATAAACTTTGTTGGTTACAGTCATTTAATATTTTTTAACTAGTAATAACACTGGTTTTAGAAATTATACCTTTTTGTATTTTTGTACGAGGAACATTTGTTGGTTATCATTGGTTGAAGCTGACACGTCTTCTGAAATTGGTAACGTTCTTCTCAACCCTGACAATGCTTTGGATAGGAGGAAGATTATGTCTTCTAATTATTAATACTGCTACTATTGAGAAAAATTTGCTATCACTTAATCTCCAATTCATTAATAATAATAATGAATTTTTATACAAATAATTTTTTTTTTCAAGTATATTAATTATAAGCAGAAATTTGTGAAATTAAAAACCAACATTGAATAAGTACATCAACATACCCCCCACCCCCAAGCTAAATTTCAATTAGTATTGGTTAAAAAACTTAATGTTTTGCTAATAAAACATGATTAAGAACATTTATAACAAGATCTTTGAGGCTGAAAGTTAACTTATTTCAACTCGGTGCTTGTGTGTTCATCCATCTTAAAGTAGTATGTAACCATTGGATTGAGAGGGTTTTTGGGTCAAACATACATTTCTAATTTCTGGGACAATAAGTTTGACATGATCTAGTATATGATCTTGAGTCATGTGTTGGGATTTCCCATTAAAACCATGAGTTGACAAAGGCAAGAACATGTTAAATATTTTTTTAACACACCAAACAAACTATGACAAGTGAGATACCAGATTTTATTCCCCCCCCCCATTTTCTACATGATCCATTTCAAAGATCAAATTTTTTTGGAAGAGCTTTTTAGTCAGTCTTAGAACTTTTCAGCTCCCCCTCATGTACTCATGTATATGTTATAATTTTCTTCCAAGATTAGAAAATTGCAAATGGTAAATCCACCATTCAAAGATAAATGTTTTCTTCTATATTATCATAACATTTGCAACAATACAAATCTAGCCAGTTATGAATTTAAGAGATTTTTAGTTTTGTTTAAACACTCCTCCTTTATGGTGATGTGTGTGGTTTTTTTTGTTTTGTTTTTGTTTTTATTTGCTAATTAATTTTACAGCCTTCTTCACATACATAATCTATAGTTGTTTTATTTTTTTATTTGGCAGCCATCTTAAATAAGATGGTTGCACCTAATAAAATATTTAAAAACAAAACCTCTGAACCCTTAACATGGATTAACCCAAACATTCTGGTAACACAATCATCAAAGAAGAAGAGTTCAATTGTCTGAAGAAAGTGTAAAATGTTAACTTCCCAAAATAGCAGACAATGTAGGCAAATGTATACAAATATGTCAGTATCAGAATTAGCGTATCATGATTAATTTTCATTTAATAAAATAAATTTGATATTATTAAAACAATACATAAATATGCAAGAATGCTTACAAATCTTGAAGTGCATCTGATTCAATGGACAGTGAATGCATTTCCCAAGTTTTAGCATCTAGACAAGGAGGCTGAAGCTTGCTGGCCATAGTCTCAATAACTTGATCTGGGATTGGAGACAAACGATTTTGGTTCCTGGCAATGGCATCTTTGACATTTATTTTCAAGTAAATTTGACAAAATCCGCAGCCATCTTTGAAAAACAATAAACAAATTTTTGGAGCTGAAATATTTGGTTTTAAGAGTAGATAAAAACAGATCAGGACTTCTTTCTGGCAAATAAAACATTCAAAATATTTTATTCCAAATTAAATCAATTATACAGTTCCCCTGCAAAATACTTTAATCACTTGAGATAATGTATAATTAAAACAGAAAATATATACTACATTGCACCATTATTTCATTACTAGTTTTACTCCATCATATTAACTTACAACCATATGTTGAAACATTAGTTTTCATTAGATCACTGAACTGAAGCAACATTGAGCCTAGTCAGTATCTAGATTGGTGACCATTTGAGAATACCAGGTGCTGTAAGCTTGAATGTGCAGTTAGTGTAATGGATAACAGTTCAAAATTGAAAATCAGAGAGCCAAGTTTCAATTCCAGTTGGGTTCTTTATATTCAATTACGTGCAAATATCCTTGGGAAATCCACCTTATCTCCTCCAGCTATGGGTTAATTAATAAAACTTGTATCAATAAATCAATATTATATCCTCCCCCACAAAAAATTACTACACTTTAAAAGTAATCTTTGGCTTTATACAACCTGCAAAAGGTTGATAAGCCATAAAAACAATCAATCCATCATATTTTTTTTACAGTGAGATTCACCCTGTACAAGGCCTGTGGGTCACTTGAGGTAAAGGATTACAGAGTAAGAGGTAAGAGACAGTTTATGCAGATAGTAGAGGAATGTAACTGTTAACCCTAGACTTGAATAGGTGAAGATTGTAGTAACCAGAGAAACATCCTCTTGGGAGTCAGTTCCACAGAGCAGTGTTCATGGTAAGAAGCAGTTCGAGTGGAACTTCTCACTAATGAAATGAGAGTGGTTTAGCACAATGTGAGTAGCATGGCAGGTTCTGGCCGTGATGATTAGAGCTGGTAGAACCAAGGAATACAACTTGTGTGAGCAGTTTTCATGGAAATAGCAATAAACTACTAGGTAGCAAAACAGAATTTGAGAGGAAACAATAGCACAATACCTACCCACTTGTTCCTTATAATCATGCTTCTGTGGCTGAAATGGTTAAAGCAAGGTTTTTATTTGTCTTTTTTTAATCATTTGCAAGGTGCCACTAAGATGCAAGGGGATACTGGGTGTTACAGAATATGAGAAAAAATGCTATTAAGGAGAGAGAACAATAAAAGAACAAGAAGTAAGACAAAAGATGACAATTGACATTGCATTTGAAATTTTTGAAGATCAAAGTTGACTGAGAAGCAAAAAACCAGAAGAGAGTTCCAAAATTGAGAAGTGCAATAAAAGAAACTGTTAACATTGAACTTATGGTTACATATCAGCTATTTCAACTATAAAATGATGAGATTTTGCCACTAATATAGTACTATGCATAAATTCATAAAGTCTGTGTACCACAGATGAAAGATATAGGATACAATTTCTGTCAAAAGCTATTTAATTTCCAATTTTGGGCCATTTACTCTAGTTGTATATTGACCAAAAATGTTGTAATAAAAAAAGCAGCAAAATGGAGTAAAATATAAAATAATAGTGAAAGTGTTCATCTTCAAAAATATACCAATTTTATCTTTAATATTTCTTCACAGTTACACTTCATTATAAAAATTAGTTTCTTATATTTAAGATAAATAATAAAGCAGTTAACAACAATCAAAAAATGTAGATACAATTATACAGGATGTCCCAAAATTTTCTATCTATAGGGTATGATGAATAAATTGTCAACATTTTATATTTTTAATTTTGCGCATACACATCCTTTGTTTTTGATTTTGTCAACTGCACAGTATAGTAGGGTAAGTTGGGTACTGTCTGTAAGAAAAAGAGCACCATGATGCAATTCACTCTGCCAAGAAATTTGGAAATGGCATGCTGTACTGCTTGGCATTTGCACCAGAAGCTCCAATATGAACATTTCAGAGTGGGTGTCAATCTAAGGATGGTGCAGAGGATTCAGAAAGAGTTGAATGAATATAATGATGATTATGAAGGTATGGCAACTCAGAAAATTCACTCTGATTGTTCTGATAAAAAAAGAACCCCTGAATTTGTAAGTGAAGGCCTCAGACTCAACATGAAGGTCTATATCAAGTGACTTGAGGAGGTAGTGCTGCCCTGTGTCAAGAGGATGGCTACTGAAAGACCTAATGTCTGGCAACAGGATTTTGCAACATGCCACACAATCAGGAGATCCCAGTCATGGCTGTCAGACAATTTCTGCAACCACATCACCCCTTACATCTGGCCACCTAACTCTCCAGACTAGACATGATTATTATGTGTGGGGTGCAGTTGAGCAAGAGACCAACAAGACTCTTTGTAACACCAAAAATGAACTGAAGGCAAGGATTATAGCAGCATTCACCAACTCAAACAAAGAGACTATCCAGAAGAGTTGCAGGAAATTCCAAAGTCATCTGGAGGCCATGGTAAAAGTCAATGGCAATTTTATTGAATAAAATTAATCTTTAGTATTTCACAATATTTTTGTGTAATTTTGATAAATATATCTGTTAAAATGAGATGTCAGTGTTATTTTCATTTTTGCATAATTTAGACGACAATTTATCCATCGCACCCTGTACTTTGGTTGGTAATAAACTTAATATCTATTAATGTCATTTACATTTTAATCTCACTTGAGTAAAAATTTCCATTGTTTAAATGTCAGTTTTTGTTGTTGTCATCGTCTACTACTACTACTACTACTACTATTGTTGTTGTTGTTCCTATTATTAGTATCATTATCATCAATATTATTATTATTATTATTATTATTATCACTCACACTGGAGATGTGATTTACACTGAGGGTTGAATTGAGTAGACGAGTAGTTCTCATCTGTAAAAGTACTCATCAATTATCAGCCTTTAACCAGTACATGGCACATCAAACAATTTTCTCTCAACAATGCAAGAAAGCTAACTATTTCAAACTATCTTTGTTCATCTACTTTTGAACATATGCAAACCATATATAACTTCAGTGATCAATAAACACTCTTACCTTTGATTTAAATAATTTTGAATATTATTTTGAGTGAAACTGACCCAAGTAATCTCTTTCCAACTGACAAAGTCTTTATGTACAAGCAGAACCACATTCACAAGTGATTTCTCTATTCTCTCTCACATGGTGTTTTTTATGCCGAGCTGATCATGCAAAAATTTCCATACACCCAACTACTCTTGACAATTCTCCTAGCTCCGAGACCATATCTTTCTTAAATTAAGCTGTCAGGGCAGCCATATTTCTTTTTCCTTTTCTTCACTTGTTTTGCACGCCAGGCATATACATGCTCGCTTTGCCACATGAGGTAAGTTATCTTCTCTTTTACACTCTTCCCTGATCTCCTGATCACATAAATGACATGAAGATGGCGGTCGCCTTCATTGAGTGCTTCTGCGTAAAGGTGGATGAGATCTGCCTGTCTCTTCTGCAGTTCTGCCCACTTGGTCTCTTTTGTTATTGACATCATCATCTTCAGCATCTGTTTCTGCTACTTCTGTAGATGAATAATCTGGCTCTGCACTAAAAAACAGTGGCGAATTTGAGTCACTTGTCATCTTCTGACAATGCAGATCTCTGACGCGGGCAGAGGTCTCTGATATGGCATGGCGTTCAATTGATGAGAACTGAACTTGGGCTGTAAACCTCTGTCACTGTTCCTTTTTTGAACTGCATTGAACATTGACCATATCTCATCTCCCACTCTGTAGATTCCAGGATTTGTGTGTTCAAGTGGTGGTGCAATATCAATATCCTTTATGTGAGCTTGATAGTTATATAGAGAGTTAGCTGGTGCTGATGAAGCTGTTGCATTGTCTTTTGGCATCAGGTTATACCAATATAATGCTTCCATAATGGAACATCCCAACTGAGAAGTGATACACTTGATAGTGCGATGACATCCCTCCATGGTGCCATTCAATGATGGTTGATAGGCACACCAGAATCTAATTCGGACACCCCAGTTCTCTGCAAACCTTGTGAAAACATCCCCACAGAATGCTGTACCATTGTCAATGAGCAGCTCGGCAGGTGTTTCCCTCTTGCAGAATAGTAACTCTAGCTATCAGATGATACTGGCAGTGTCCTGATATGGCAACGGTGGCTAGATGGAAAACCTACTAGGGCCAAAGTCTATCAAAGTCAGGTAATGCCAGCCTTCATAATGTGTTACGTCAATTCCCACCCTGTTCCAATTCCTGCACACATCCAACCGTCCAGCTTTACAAAAGACTGGCACATTTTGCACTCACCAACCACTGCCCGAACAGCTGCCTTTGAGACCTCAGCATGTATCTGTCTTACAAAATACAAGGTGCGTTTCACACCAGAATGCCCACTATATTGATGGATGGCTTGAATGTGGGTGGATTCCTTCTCTTCTATAGATGCAGTGCACACTAGTTCCATTTCTTTCCAAACCACAGCCAGCCAAAGTTGAGGCACTCTGGGATCTGATGAGCTCTATGTCAATAATCAATTTATATTCCTTTACCAGTTCCTTGATTGTGCCAAGTCAATGTCTTATTAACATTTCTGTCACTGTCTTTGTGCTCACTCAAGACTTCTAGACAATGTATCAGAAACCCATTGATACACATACATTGAGTCAGTCTTCAGGTGAACCACATTCGCTCTCTATTGCAGTGTCATGTTGATGCCTCTCAAGTGGCCAAGGAACTTGCATCAACCCAGATGGTAACTTTGTGTCCATCAACACGCCAATCACCCTGTGCCAGATCCTTCTGTGCCAATCTGGTAATGATGTCTATCAGCATCTGAGTCAGGAGTGGGTCCTGCACCTCATTGTCCCAGTCAGTCACCACAGAATTCACATGCCATTTTATGAATGCAGTTGTGACACGGAGCCAGCCACATACTGACAAATGTCTAGTCAACTTCCCACACAGGGAGAAGATGCTCCAATGAGTAAGCATGTTAGGCAGCGGTGGGAGGTCGACTCCATT